ACCCTAAACTCTCCAGCCCAGGGACTGGTCCTCTTTTCACAGCTTCTCTTCCCAGCCATTTTGGCAACATCACTCTCTTGGGCTCATGTCCTCTTGGCTCCTGATCCCTTTTCCTGCCCTTTTTCCTTTCTCTCTTTCACTCTTTTTTTCCACTTCCTTTCATAGCCATGTTCACTTTGGACCCCTCCAGATGCTTCCAGATGAGGCTGATTTCTCCCTCATATCTACAATACCCATATAATAGCTCACAACTGTCTCTAACTCCAGTTCTAAGGGACTTGACACCTTCACAATAATGCACATAAAATAAAAAATTAAATCAAAAGTAAAAACAAATAACCCAGTAGCCTACAGAATGGAAAAAGAGCTTCACTAACCCTACATCTGACACAGGGCTAATATCCAAAATATAAAAAGAACTCAGGAAATTAAACACCAACAAGCTAAGTAATCCAATTATAAAATGGGTTACAGGCTGAGTGGTGATAGCGCATGTCTTTAATCCCAGCACTCAGGAAGTAGAAGCAGACAGATCAGGGTTTGAAGTTAGTCTGGTCTAAGACAGCGAAGGCTACACCAAGAAACCCTGTCTCGAAAAACTGGAAAAAAAAAAGGCAGGGGTGGGATACAGAGATTTCTCAACAAAGGAATCTCTAATAGCCAAAAAGCACTTAAACAACTGTTTAACTTCCTTAGTTATCAGAGAAATGCAAATCAAAACAACTTTGAGGTTCCATCTTACACTGGTCAGAATGGCTAATATCAAAACCTCAAGTGGTAACACATGCTGTCCAGGTTGTGGAGAAAGGAGAACACTCCTCCATAGCAGACTTGTACAACCACTTTGGAAATCAATCTGGTGGTTTCTCAGAAAGTTGGGAATAGTTCTACCTCAAGAGCCAGCTATACCATTCTTGGGCATATATCCAAAAGATGCTCAAGTACACAACAAGGACATTTGCTCAACCATGTTTATAGCAGCTTTATTCGTAATACCTGAACCTGGAAACAACCCAGATGTCCCTCAACTGAGGAATGGATACAGGAATTGTGGTACTTTTACACAATGGAATACTACTCAGCTATTAAAAAAAAAGACATCATGCAATTTTGTAGGCAAATGGATGGTGCTAAGAGATATCCTGAGTGAGGTAACCTAGACCCAGAAAGACACACTTATATGTGGATATTAGCAATATAGTATAAGATAATCATGCTACCATGCACAGACCCAAATAAGCTAAGTAACAAGAAGGGCATAAGGGAGAATGCTTGCATCTCACTCAGAAAGGGAAGTAAACATGGAGGGAGAGAACTGGGGGCAAGGAGGGATGGGAACAGGGGTGGTGATCAGATTTGTGCGGGTGACTTAGAGAGAGAATGGAAATCCATGTGCAGAGGCATTTCTGGTCCTGGAAGTCTAGGGAAGTAACTCTAGCTAAGAATCCTCACAGTGGAGGATATAAAGCCTTAAGTTGCCACTTTCTGTAGGAAGGTGAGACTTCCAGTAGAGGGGGGTGGACACCAACCCACCCATAAAACTTTTGATCCAGAGTTTGTCCTGCCTACAAGAAGTTTAGGGATAGTGATGGAGCAGAGATTGAAGGAGCGGCCAACCAATGACTGGTCCAACTTGAGGCCCACCCCATGGGAGACAGCCAGCCCTTGACACTATTAATGATACTCTGTATAATTGCAGACAGGAGTCTAGCATAATTGCCTTCTGAGAAGCTTCATCCAGCAGCTGATGGAAACATATGCAGAGAATTACAGCCAAACAATAAGCTGAGCTGGGGGAGTCTTGTGGAAGAGCTGGAAGAAGGATTGAAGGAGTTGGTGGGTCACGGTCAAGAGCACAAGAAGACCTACAAAGTAAACTAATCTGGGCCCTTGGGGCTCACAGAGCCTGACCAGCCAACCAAAGGGCATGCATAGGCTGGACCTAGGCCCCCTACACATATGTAGCAGATGTGCAGCTTGTTCTCCATGTGGGTCCCCTAACAATTGGATTGGGGGGTTGTCTCCAACTCAGCTGCCTGCCTTTGAATCCCTGTCCTATAGCTGGGCTGCCTTGTCTGGCTTCAGTGGGAGAGGATGCCCTTAGTTGTGCTAAGACTTGATGTGCCAGTGTAAGTTGGTACCCATGGGAGGGGAAAATAGAGGGAGGGGAGTGAGGACTGGGAGTAGAGGAGGGAAGGGCCTGCAATCAAGCAATAAAGTGATCAAATGAATGAATGAGTGAATGAATAAAAACCAAACCAAACCAAATCAGAACCAAGTGACCAACCAAACACAAAACCAGGCATGGTGGTGGCGCACACCTTTAGTTCCAGCATCCCAGAGGCAGAGCCAGGCGGATCTCAGAATTCAAGGCCAGCCTGGTCTACAAAGTGGGTTCCAGGACAGCCAGGACTACACAGAAAAATTCTGTCTCAACACCCTCCCCTCTCCCCCATCAAAAGAGAGAGAGAGACTAGAGAAGATATTAGAGAAAAGATACATAGAGAAAACATAGACTAGCGGGGTTGTAAAGAGAATGAGTAGCTGAGGAAAGGGAGTCCTATGAGCAGGAGGGAGTTTAGTGTAGCAGAGGAGGTGAAAAGGGCCAGGATGCTACTGTTGACTTTGAAATGTGTCACAGATACTTGTGATACTGAGGGAGCCTGGAGGCCAGCATGAGCTTTGAAATGCTGAAAGGCATTATAGGTAGCCACTTGTCCCTTGAGCCAAAGGTAAGGGAAATGGCTCCTTTTGGTAGAGAGGAACCGGCTTCACAGCTCCTGAGGAGTTCTGGCTTTTATCTAACTGCCAGAAATCCTCCTTTAGTCCAGGTTGTACCTGTTTCTGGATATTTGCACTATCTTTTGGGGCTTGTGAATTGGAGTTTCCTTTGGAACTGACAATCTGCTTGTAGCCTGCTCAGAATGTCCTTCCTCAGAGAGGCTAGGTAACTTGGGAGTAAATTCCCATTCCATTTTCCCCAGTCATTTTTCTGGAATGGCACCCCTGGGCTGTGAGGGGCAGGGATTGACCATATACCAGCCACCAAGAGGGCAGTCCTGAGGATTGTAAAACTTCATAGCCGTCTTGCTCAGAGTAGGAGGTCAAGGCCCTTGCTATTGGCTTCCCAGGAGCCATAATAGTTCCATCCTCCTCTTCCTCTTCCCCTTTGTCCAGCTCTGCCTTTGCTGTACCAGGTGATGTCTCCTCTCTCCTCAGCCTCCTGGGCTTCCGGTGGTGGCCTCTGTGAAGCCCCTTTCTGGTCATAGGTATTTCAAGTGAGCCACATAGCCACATAGCTCGTGCATCCAACCGGGAACACGGTCTTTTCCCCAAGACCTGAATTCATGGGCGGTGTGGATGTTTTCAGACACTGGCTGACAGATGAGGAAATAGCTAGGACAGAAGCCCTTCTAGGCAGGTAGTCAGATCTGACCTCGAAGGCCACCCAACCACCTGTTCCTGCCTCCAAACACAGCTAGGCAGACCTGTCTGCCCTACCCACCTATGACTCATTCCCACCTACACGCCTCCACCACATACATTTGCATTGCTGGGGAGCCCCTAATTCCTCCCATCCTCTCCTCTGGGGCAAGCCGGGACTGGGCAGCAACCTCCACTCAGTGCCACCCTCAAGAAACACCCCCCAAATAACCCTGAGAAAGTCCTCATGATGCTCCTGCTGATAGTGGGCTCCCTGGGCCCTCCTCTGCTCTGGGCTAGGCTCCTAGTCATTCAGTCATTTACACAATAGCCAGAACAAGCTGACTCTGCCATCTCAGAGACAGAGGCCCTTTCAGCAGAAAGGGAAGTTTATGGTGCAGGGAAGATCTGGGTGTTTCCAGGAAAGCATGTCTGGGCAGACATGCTTTAGAGTTCCATACAGGAACTCTAAAGTTTTCTAGGGCAATGCCTTGAGGTGCTGGTGCCCACAGGCACACAGCCTTCCATGGGAAGCCCCTGTGCCCTAGTCTGACTCAGTCTTGCCTGCAAACTGTTCTTTTCAGAGTTTGGAGCAGGAAAATATTTTTTTCTTCTCCCAAGGCTGTTAGATGGCTGCTTATGGGCAAGTAGGTCTATCTGCTTCCCTGTGTCTTCTGTTTTTCATCCTCTCCTATGTCCTTCATCTTGCAGTCCCTGCTCTGGGTTCATCTTCCATCTGCAACCTCCTTCCTGTATCCAGAATCCTGTATCCTGTTCCATCTACCCTGCGTCTTGCATCCTCCATCATGCATCCTGTATCTTTCATCCCCCATGCTGTGTCTTCCACCTTCCTTCCTATATCCTGAGTCCTCCATTCTTCATCCTGTATCCTTCAGCAAGTGCCTGGAGCATTTGAGGCTAGCACACCCTCTCTCAGCCATGCTGTGGGACTTCAATTTAACAGCTCTTTGTCTTGAGCTATTGTCCTCTACTGGGCTTCTGCTCATTAGATGCCCTGCCCTAACTATCTTCAGACATGGCCAGTATCCCCTAGAGAAACCAGAGTGAGCAGTGGGTTGATTATATTGCACCAGACAGGGAACCACAAAAAGTTATCCATCTCCCAGGTCAGGAGCTCAACCTCAGAGCAAAGAACATTTGCTGCTTACAGCTCTTGGGTCCTTACTGTGTAAAAACATTTACTGACTGGGCTGTTGCGTGCCACTTGGCCTGGGTGGGGCTGGCAGCTGAGCTAGCACTGTGTGGTGCTGTGGAAGCAGTTCCCATTGCTGGCTTCTTTGAATTCCTTGAAGGTAGGAGTATTCTGGCCAGCAACTCAGCTCTGCTCATCTGTCCACACTGAGCCAGATGGTTCCTGCCTTGTGGGGCGAGGCTCCCTGAGTCATTCCTGTTACACCCAGAACTTGGCCTAGGACCTCCATGCCCTGGAATGTGTGCTTCCTGACTGGAGCTTTGCATCTTTCGTCTTTCCCAGCCTGCACAGATCCTGGAAGCTCCCTGAATAATTCCTAGATGCCTTTGCAAGGCCACCTCCCTATTGCCTCACATGGCCAGTCCTATGCTTGCCAGTCTTCTCCCTTTGGGTGCCCACTGTCTTCTCTCATGAGGTCCAGCTGCACTTGGAATCCTGAGTTTGTGAAGAGGCTCAGTGCTAGGAATGGTCCCTTACGTGACTTAGGCTTGCTATGACACACAAATTCAGAAATAACATCAACCCATCAGGCCAGTCAAGGTGTATACAGATGGCCAATGTAAACAGCTGGTGCATAGCACATACCATCTATATGTCTGTCTGTAGTGTCTATGGTCGTTGACCCTAGCAGGATCTGAAAGGCAAGCCCTGGGCCTGATGGTATCCTGACATTGTTGAGGAAGCTTACTCTTTTTTTTTCATTTTTGGTTTTTCTGTGTAGCCTTGGCTGTCGTGGACTTGCTTTGTAGGCCAGGCTGGCCTCAAACTCACAGAGATCTGCTTGCCTCTACCTCCCTAGTACTGGGATTACAGGTGTGCTCCACCACACCAGGCTAGGCAGCTTAGCCTTAAAGGGAAAGAGACAGCCTGAGAGGAATGTCATGTACAGGTTAACTCGTGACACTCTACGTTCAAGCGATTGAGGGACATGTAATTTATCGTGAAACTCACATGGTGTGTGTTGAATACTTTGGAGTTTTCCTTGTCTATCTGAAGTTCGGGCCTGGGCAGGAGCGCAAATGCCCAGTGTTACCTGTGGTGGCCTCCAAGGACATGGGAGGCTTCAGCAAGGTCTGTTGTGGTTATAAGCTGTGAGGACTTTGGGCTGGGATTGTGGGGTCTGCTTCCTCCCATCGCCTCTAGCGGAAGACAGGTGAGGAGCCTCAGGGAGGAGGTGTGAGGGCTTCAAGATAGAGACGTAAGGGAGGCCAACAATGCCAGCCTCAAGTTTTTCGGGGAGACTCAGTGGGAAAAAACACAAAGCAAAAACAAGGTGGACAGGTCTGGAGCCAGGGCCAGCATCCAAGCATCCTAGTTCCTTTTTCCTCAGAACCCTGCCATGTGACAGGGCTCTTGAGACCAAGACTGCCAGAAACTCTACCAGGACACAGCTGCCTTGTTCTTCCTGCCTGGAACCAAGGTGAAGAAATACAAGGTGTGGCTCCTGCTGGCTTTCCCTTCTTCCTCTGGCCTCTCTCCATTTCCTTTTTTTTTTTTTTTTATGTTTCTAATATATATACTTTTTTATTATTACAATTTATTCACTTTGTATCCCAGCTATAGCCCCTCCCTCATCTCCTCCCAACCCCACTCTCCCTCCCTCTCTTACAATGCCCCTCTTTATTTCCTCTTACCTCTGGGGCAAGTATGGTTAATTCTCCTTTCTCTCTTGCTCCCTCTCTCTTGACACAGTCTCTCTATGTAGCCTTGGCTGGCCCTTAACCTGAGAGAGATATGCCTGCCTCTGCCTCAGAATTGCTGGAATTAAATGTCTGTGCCACTATGCCTGTCTTATGTCTGGTTCTTTTTGTTTGTTTGTTTTTTATCTTTTTGAGACAGGGTTGTGTGTGTGTGTCTGTGTAGCTTTAGCTGTCCTGGAACTCCGTCTGTAAACCAGGTTGGCCTCAAATTCACAGAGATCTGCCTGACTTTGCCTTCCAAGTGCTGAGTATAAAGGTGTGTGCCACAACCACATGGCTATCTGTTGTTTTTGTTTTTCAAGACAGGGTTTCTCTGTGTAGCCTTGGCTGTCCTGGACTAATTTTGTAGATCAGGCTAGCCTCAAACTCACAGAGATCTGCCTGACTCTTCCTCCACCTCCCTGGGTGCTGGAATTACAGGTGTGCACCTCCCAGGCCTGGCTATCTCTGGGTCTTGAGAGGACTGTTTGAGTTCTTTCCTGACACTTGCTTCACTGAGGCCCCACCTGGGTAAGATGGTTTTCCCACCCAGGATGGACCACAATCTCAATGCTGACTCTGCCATGATTCACCTTTCATTTTTCAAACATTTAGTTCTTAACTTAAAAAAAAATCTAATTTTTTAATAAAGATTTATTTATTTACTATGCATACAGTGCTCTGCCTACATGTTTGCTTGCACGCCAGCAGAGGGCATCAGATCTCATTATAGATGGTTGTGAGCCATCATGTGGTTGCTGGAAATCGAACTCAGGACCTCTGGAAGAGCAGCCTTAACCTCTGAGCCATCTTTCCAACCCAGTTGTTCTTAACTTTATGAAAAGAATATTTTGGGCAGACAGGGTGACTCAGAGAAAAGACACCTGCTGTCAGGATTGATAACCCGAGTTTGATCTCCAGAAGCTACGACACAAGAACTCTCTCTCCTCTCTGTCTGTGTGCTGTGTGCACAAGAGCCATGGAGGTAAGAACAGGGCATCAGATACTTGAAACTGGAGTAATGGTGGCTGTGATTCAGCTGTAAGGCATTTTCTCAGTTACCAGCCCTTTGTGGTTAGTTCCATCTCTGGGCTGGTGGTCTTGGGTTCTATAAAAAAGCAGGCTGAGCAAATCATCGGAAGCAAGAAAACAGCAGCACCCTCCCCCCATCAACTCTTGTCTCCAGGATTCTTCCCTGTTTGACTTTCTTTGATGATGTACAGTGATATGGAAGTGTAAGCCAAATAAACCCTTTCCTCTCCCTACCCCAATTTGCTCTCTCTCTCTGTCTCTCTATCTCTCTTTCTTCATGAATCTTTATTGGCCATGGCTCCTTGAGGGGGATGAAAACAGGAGGACTGGATGGCAGATACCAGGCCAGCTCTGCTTCAAAAGGCTTGTAGGTGATGGTGAACATGCCACGGTAGTGGTTGATCATCTCTGGTTTGGTTGCCACTTGGTTGAAAGTCTTGCCATTGTACAAGCCCAGCATGCTGCCTACCATCTCAGGCAGGACAACCATGTCGCTCAGGTAGGTCTTTGCCATCTCAGGCTTCTCCATGGGTGGCGCCTTCTTAGATTTTCTCAGGTGGTAAGTGCTGTTCTGTGCAGGCCGCAGTTCAGGCTCTGCCTCTGGTGGGTGCAGTAGTGCATAGGACATGTCCTGCTGGACATGGTCCAGGTCCACACTGTGGTTGGTGAATGCGTGGAAGGCCTGCTTCTTCTGCTCCACTTCAGCCATCTTGGTGGCTGCTCCGGTCTTGGTGTTTCTTTGCAGCAATAGAAAGCCTAAGACAGTCCGGTTGTATGTCTGTGTACCACATGTGTGTGCCTAGTACTCATGGAGACCAGAAGAGGGTATTGAATCTCCTGGAACTGGAGTTACAGGCTGCTGGTGTTATAAAATATAAGGGGGTAAGCGGGTACGATGGCCAGCCCATGCCAACATGCCCCTGAGAAATTACACCATGCAACAAATCTGGTATAAAGGGGCTTATTGGGATAAGGGAGAGAGTAGGGCCTTTGATCCCAGAATTTGGGAAGAAGAGGTAGGCATATCTCTGTGAGTTTAGGGCAGCCTGGTCTAATAATAAGTTCCAGGACAGCAGAGCTATAAAATGAGATACTGTCTTTTTTTTTTTTTTTTTTTTTTTTTTTTTTTTTTTTTTTTTTTTTTTTGTTTTTTTTTTTTTTTTTTTTTTTTTTTTTTTTTTTTTTTTTTTTTTTTCAAGAATGGGTTTCTGTGTGTAACAGCCCTGGATGTCCTGGAACTCACTCTGCAGACCAGGCTGGTCTTGAACTCACAGAGATCTGTCTATGCCTGCCTCCTGAGTGCTGGGATTAAATAAACCACTAAGCAAACAAACAAAAAAAATAAAATTAAGGGGCTGATGAGATGGCTCACTGTTAAAGGTTCTGGCCACAAAGATTGATCTCTGGAGCCCACAAGGTGGAAGGGGAGAACAGACTCCCACAAGCTGTTTTCTGTCCTCTGAATGTGCACAGCTTCCCTTGCCCCCACAAATCAGAACAGCCTGGAGAGCTACCCTGGCATTAGGAAAAGCAGGTTTGCATTCCTACTATCTGGTGGCCACCACACAATGGAGAGACACGAGGACAAGCCTGCTCAGTCTGTAAATAGATTAAAATGCCATGAGTTTTCAGTAAGGGGCTGCAAGGGACCTCTATTGGAGAGTGGTAATTGTGCCCGTCAAGCTGCAGACTCGTGTTGACCACTAGGTGGTGCATGCTCCCTGTTCAGACTGAGCCTGACTGACATTGGCCACTAGGTGGCACAGCCTCCCCATTCCCACACAGTGTGCAAGCAGCAGGTGGTTTAGGAAGGATCTTTGTGGTGCGCACCCACTCCCTGGTCTCATCACTGCAGGTCAGAACTGTAGGCATGCTCCTGGGCTGGTGAAAAACAGCACCATCTGTGAGAACACGAATGCATGTCGGTCTCAACTTAAAATGAACTTTCTTAAAACTTGGTGTGTGTGCAGGTGTGCACTTGCCACAACCTGCTCATGGAGGTCACAGAACATTCTTAGTAGTCTCTCCTGACACCTTGTGAGATCCAAGGATCCAACTCAGGTGGAAAGACCTGCAGACAAGCACCTGAGCCATGTAGAGGAGCCCAGCAAAGCTTTCTTTGAGCAGATCCACCACTCACTAAATATTTTTGAGCACTTACTGTGCACTAGGTGTTATTCTAGGTGCTGAGAATCCAGCAATGTGTTAAACAGACACAATAATGAAACTTAGACTATCGGGAAGAGGGAGAAAAAGATGAGTGCCATGGTGCAATGTGCCAGAAGAGAAGGAAGCTGGGTGGTGGTGCACGCCTTTATAATCCCAGCACTCAGAAGGTAGAGGCAGGAAAATCTCTGAGATTGAAGCCAACTTAATCTACACAGTGAGTTCCAAGACAGCTGGAGCTTCACAGTGGAACCATGTCTTGAGAAACAAAACAAGCAAACAAAAAGAAGCAAAGGGAGATGAACTTGTTAGAGATAGAAAAAAAACTAAACTGTGGGGTTTTATGCTTGTTTTCAGCTGGAGTCTGTTGTCAAGGTAGCTTCAAGCAACTCTCTAACCTCAGCCTCCTGAGGAGGTGGGGTCGGACTCAGAGGTTGCACAGCTGGCAGGACTGTTATAGGAGCCACCCCAACTGCCACAGTAGAGGTTGAGGGCTAATTAAGACCACCCTTGAGGTTGGGTGTAATGGCACAAACCTTTAATCCCAGCACTTGGGAGGCAGAGGTGGGTAGATCTCCAAGCTGGAGGCCAGCCTCATACTCGACTACATAGTAAGTTCCAGGACAGCCAGGGCCAAGTATTGAGACCTTGTCTTAAACAAACAAAAAGGTCACACTTGGTGCCATTGTATGCCTCAGTTCTGGCCGAGACAGAAAACATCAAGAGGACTTCCCAGAGCACAAAGCCCTTTGTCTCTTGGGTGTGCACATGACCGGGTTATCGAGGTGGTTAAAAGATAATAGCATAGAAGTTGGGGAGCTGAAGTCTGTGATGGTGAATCTTTTCACTTGAAATGCAGCACTGGATTAATAGAGTACAACTTTTGAGTCTTTGTGAGGTTTTTCAGGAGCCCATTAAGATGCAGGACTCTGGTGCATGAATAGTGTCCTTGCATGGGCTCCTAACATTGTTGAGAGTGGGGGAAAGGAGGTGCGGTCCAGTTCAAGGAAGTGGTCACTGGAAGCATATCCTTGGGGGGCAATCCTGTCCTGGCCGCTTGCTGGCCCTTCCGAGATGAGTTCTTCATGGCTGCATGAATGATACTTTGCCAACCTGCATGAAGCAAATGATGATATACTGAACTCCTTAAAATTAGGAGCCAAAAAAAAAAAAAAAATTCCTTCTTCTCTTTGATTCAGGTAGGAATTCAGTCATTAAATAAGAAAGGGAACTTACATGGAAGGCAAGGATGGCCCTGCAGCTGAGAAGCTGACTAGAAAACCAGGAGGGCTGAGCAGGTACCTGTGTGTTTGATGCCTAAGGTACAGCTAAAGCCATGACACCTGTAAACTTCCCAGTGACATCTGACCCGAGAAGTGACTGGCCCAGTGAGTGATGGCAGCAGTAATACCAGAAGCCTATGCAACTCTGCCTTAGAAGGTCTTAGCATTGAAAAAAAATTGTTTTCTTTCTTTTTTTCTTATTTTAGATGGTGTCTTGCCATGTTGCCCAGGTCGGGTCCAACCTTTTAGGCACAAATAATCACCCTGCATTAGACTCCCCAGAAGCTGAGATAAAGCTATGTACCACCGCATCCCGCTTAGAAATTCCTGTTTCCAGAGATTACCTACATAGATCATCAAGGATTCATGATAATTGTACATGCCTTTAATCCCAGGACTTGGGAGGCAGAGGCAGGTGGAACTCTCATAGAGGCCAGACTGCTCTACAGAGTGAGTTCCAGGATAGCTAGGACTACATAGAAAGACCCTGTCTCAAACAACAAAAACAGTGTTGATTAGTTGGTAGAGAGAGTATTTGTCTATCATGCATGATTCCCAGCACTACATGAACTTTAGCCCTTCGTGGGTGAAGAGATGCAGGAGTTCAAGGTCATCCACAGCCACATAATGAGTTCCTGGTTAGCCTAAGCTACACGAGGCACACTTTCAAGGTTAGCTAGGACTGCTTGTTAGCAAATAACTTAAGCCTGACCATCCTATTTCACTGTCTGTCCTGCCCCTCCCCTTATGAGCTAATTGTGTTTTCGCTTTTATAAACTCACTGTGGAAAATGGGTCGATATCACAGTTAGGCTTTTGAGTTCCTTTCTGTGTCCCTGGTCACAGCCAGTCTTAGGGTTTTGGGGTGTTGTGTTCAATAAACCATCCATACCTGACAGAGACTGGAGTCTGAATGGTTTGTGTGGTTATTCTTGTACTGTAACAGTATATCTGAATAGGAAAATGTTGCTTATTTCTAGCTATTTACTATCTGATTAACTTTGAAAACAACTACAGGAGGCTAAATAAAGCTTATTTCTGTGATAAACTAAACTAGTGCCTAACATGACCATAAGTTGGACTACTAACTTGCATTTCTTTCTTTCTTTTCCTTTTTGTCTTTTCTTTCCTTTTCTTCTGTTACCCTTTCTTTTCTTATTTCTTTTTCTTTCTCTCTCCTTCCTTCCTTCTTTCTCTCTCCCTCCTTCCTTCCTTCCTTCCTTCCTTCCTTCCTTCCTTCCTTCCTTCCTTCCTTCCTTCCTTCCTTCCTTCCTTCCTTTCTTTCCTTCCTTGCTCTCACACAGGACTTCTCTGTGCAGCCTTGGCTATCCTGAATCACAGAGATCCACCTGCCTTTGCCTCCCTGAGGACCGGCATTACGCCCAGCACCACCACACCCAGCTTAACTTGCATTTCTTAGTTATCCTAAACAGTTTGTAATAGTAGTTTTCGAAAGGACTAAAACATCACATTACACTTTTAAATGAATTACATAGTACAATACTTTAAAAGAGTTGAAACATGTATACAGTATAACAAAATATAACCTTAAATTTGTATCAATATACAAAAGTTTATACCAATGTAAAATATTTGAGTGTTGTTGCTTTCTAGTCTAACAGTAGATTCAATAATCTACCCTTTTATCCTATCATTCTCATATCACCTCTTTTTTCTTTTTATCCCCTCTACACCCTTTCCCCTAACATTAGATAAGAGAGAAAGAAGAATAAAGGAAAGAAACAGAAAGAAATTCCTGAATCTAACCTCTTTTAGTTTGTCTCCTCCCTGACCAAGACCGTTAACAATTTGCAATCAATCCCCCTTAAATGATGACTGTTGATATAACGTTTTTGTGGAATGTAAACAATTTACCCTTGTTCGTTCAAATGCTGATTTCTCTACTCCACTACCTGATTTCAATCCAGACATTGCATTGTGATGCTAAGCATCACCTGTCTCAAGTTTGTGTAAACACGCCACCATTTGTTCTCTATATTGTCAATTAAAACATCCACTCAGTGCTGAGCAATGGAGAGAATAGGGTGGGACATCCTGGTCTGGAGGGGAGGAGAATGAAGTGAGTGGGAGGAGTCAGAGAAGATAGAACTGCAGGAGAGGACTTGGAAGCATGAGGTGAGATGAACAGGACCTTAGATATGACTAAAAGCAAGTATAAGGTGGGAAATCTGAATGGGAGGAAACTATGTGGGCCTGGAGGTTTAGGATGGAGTAACCATTGCCCAGCATTGTGCTCTATG